CGCACGGTGTGTCAGGGCACCTGCCTGAGGCGGTCCTGGAGCAGGACCTGTCCCCTGGGCAAGCGCATCTGTAGACAAGACACGAAGACGCGAATGACTCATCTGGTCACAGGCCGTGACCCGAGGAGCCCGGCCCTCCCACCCGGCAGCCCACCCGGCGCAATGGCACGTCCACCATGAAGGGCCTTCGGGGACGAGAGCCGCACATGCCTCGATGGGGCACGTCTGTGCCGGTTTCTGTGCAACGTGCGCGGGGAGCCCCCACATGTGGACGCTGGACTCGCTGAGTCACGGGGGCCTCTCCTTTCTGGCTTCTTCATGGACACCTACGGGGACAGCAAGGGCAACACAAGGCGGAAAGAGGCATCGGTGGGCAGATAACTCACCGCCTCCTGTACCCGCCGGGTCCCTGCTGCTCCACCTTTGCCTGGGCTATCCCCCCCCACCCCCGCACTGCCCTCCTCTCCTCTGGTGTCGCCTCCATACCATCGCCTGCCCGACCCATGTACCCCTGTCCAAGGGCCTCCACACCATCGCCTGCAGACCTGTGTCCCCCTGTCCAGGGGCCTCCACACCATCGCCTGCTGACCCGTGTCCCCCTGTCCAGGGGCCTCCACACCATCGCCTGCCGAGCTGTGTCCCCCTGTCCAGGGGCCTCCCTGGGGCCCTGCAGGGCAGAGTTTGCCCGGCCCCCTCTTAGGCAGCGACCATCCACAGCCACAGCGAAGACTCACTGCCCCATTTTCACGACTGTGCGGGGCATTTACACGCACAGACTATTCAGTTGTCCGCGTGGCTACTTTAATGCCAGGTGCTGCAGACGGGGAAACGGAGGCCCCGAGGGAAGTTGCTGTGTGCTCTGTGACTAGAGCCAGAAGAGGCGAGAGAGAGAAGGCCTCCCCACGCTGACGGCTGCTGGCCCCGGGCAGGCCGCCTGCCAGCCCTTCACCAGTCGTGGCTGCTCTTATGAAACCCGTGCTCCCCACTCTGATGGACCCTGGCCCAGCCCTGGCTCCCTGTGCAAGTCTCTGCCAGGCCAGCGGCCGGACCCTCCCCTGCCCAGCACGGGACCCAGCCTCTCCTTCTCAGCCACGGGCAGGCCTTTTCGGGCCACACGTCTCAGACTGTTCTTGAGGACAGAGGGGCCTCGGTGACTCATGTGCTCCCCAAGCCTCTCTGGGGCATCTGGCCCCCAGCTCCGGGCCAGCTGCTGCCCCCGCTGCCCCCGTGCTGCCCTGGACGTGGGAACAGGTGCCAGGCCTCCTGCAGCCGCCGCCCTCTCCCCGCCCCGGGCACAGTGCATCCTGGGAGGGCTCTGCTGGGCAGGGACCTTCTCCTGGAGGAAGTGACGCCCGGGGTGGCCTCTTTGGGGGCCAGTGTTGCTGTTAGGATCTAAGCGTTTCTAAACTGCTTTGTCATTTTCAAAGGCTCCTGCGTGTGTGAAGGTGCGGCATGGCAGATGTGAGTTCAGATAGATGCTTAACACCCTCCCTGCAGTTTGAGAACGTGTGGGCAGTTTCAGAACGCAGGGCTCCATCTGGCACGGGGGCGGGGCTGACTCCTCCGCACCCAGCACCCAGCACCCAGGAAGACGCCCAGGGAGGCCCGGGGGAGGTGGAGGGGGAGGGGCCTTGCTGAGACAGCCCCTATGGACTGACCTGGGTGTGCCCCTAAATTCCCACGTGGAGTCTCCTAGCTCCCTAGTGTTTCAGAATGTGGCCTTATCTGGGTTTTCACTGAGGTCATTACGATTAAATAGTCTTTAGTGTGGGCCCTGGTCCAACGCGACAGATGTCCTTCTGAGAAGAGAGTAGGGCCCAGACTCGGAGGGAAGGCCAGGTGGATCGAGTGGGGGCGGGGGGAGAGGCGGCCTCCACGCGGAGGGGAGAGGCGGCCTCCACGCGGAGGGGAGAGGCCTCTGAGGGAGCCCCGCTCTCAGGCCTCCGAGCCTCACTGTAACCAGGGCCCCCTGTCCGGCTCTTCTGGACACGCCCGGCCTCCGGGATCATGAGCCAACACGTTCCTGCTGCTGAAGCCGCCGCCTGCGGCCTGTGTCCAGTGGGGTAGGAAATACTATGGACTCCCCTCCGCGCAGCCCCGGGCATCCACGCCCGCCTGTGCCTTCCCGTCCTCTGGAGCCAGCCTGCCTTTGTGAATGTATTTCTGGAAACAGGGGCGCACGGGTCTTTCAGGGAAGCCGTAACACACCCCCCCGGAGGCATCCGTCCTCCTGAGACACTTTGGGGAGTCGGCGGCCCTCTGAACTGCGCTGGGGACGTGGTTCTAGGAACTGAGGCAGGTGGCACGCAGGCTGCGCACAGACCACTAAGCCACTTCTAAGCCCCGGGCTACCTGAGGCTTCGTGCAAAAGCGCACAGTGCTGCTGCTTCCCTCTCTACCTCCCCTGCACCCCCCGCGGTCTTTGGGGCGCCATGGCACACCTGGCATGGGGAGCAGAGTGGAGGTCCTGTGAGAATTTCATGGGGCACAGCCTGCATGATGATTCCTGGGGGTTTTGGTTTGGCCTGTCCTGGCCACGGCCAGTGAGTGTGTGCCGTGCAGTGTGCGGTGTGTGGTGTGTGCTGTGCCCTGTGCCAGACCACACGTGTCCCTCACGCCGGCCGCCCGACCCGCCCGGAGAAGGGAGCGATGTTTTGTGCGGCCCGTGCCCCTCTTTCTCCCCAGTTGCCATGTGGGTATCTTGCCAAAAGGGAGGATGGGTTTCATTCTGTGAGAACTGCATGGACCAAGAGAGCGCCCCCCCGGGGGAACTGTGGAGTTTTTCCTCTGGCGCGTGGCCGCAGCTGGGAGGGAACACGCTACATGTTACAGGCAGCGAGAAAGGGCACAGGCCTGGCCCCCCGACAGCTGGGCTGGGACACAGGGCTAAGGACTCGGACTCGGAGAGAGAACCAGGTAGAGGGTGGGGCCTGTGCTGGCCTCGGCGCTAAGGCAATGCCCAAAGGGCACCCACGCGACATGGGCCACCTCTCCAGCTCGGGGAGGGCGCTAACCCGGCAATGGAAGCCGCCGCCATGTCAGTGCGTCACCTGAGGAGTGTACAGGGAAACTGCCCGCAGAGAGTCCACTCTGGCTCTCTGACATGGACCCTCCAGACCATATTCTCGAGCCAGAGACTATGAGGCCCGCATTCCTCTCCTGAGAGGGACCACGCAAACCCCTTTCCTCAGGAGCCCTTCTGAGCTTTGTGTGGGGGGTCCCAGGCCCCCCTCCCCGATCTGCCCCTGGAGGGCTCCCCCTCCCTGGCTCCCAGCCGGGGTGCGCGGGCGACTGTGCACGGGGCCGCAGGACGGAGGGGCTGTGTCAGGGCAGCGTCTTCTCTTTCCTGGTGTCTGTGCGGGTCACCGGGGCCCTGGCTATCTGGACTGCCTGCCCGGTAAGGGCACAGGCAGGCGGCACCCCACACCGAAACCCAACCTGCTGACCAGCACCCTGTTCCAGTTCCCGACTCCGCCTTCCCAGCCGAAGGAGTGAGAAGCGACTGCCGCGCAGAGCGGGACGGAGAGCAAGGAAGGCAGGAGGGTCTCGTTACGGTTACTCTGCACATAGTGCTTCCTGGGCTTATTTGAGACCCAGAGGAAATGCCGGGGGGTTGGGGGGGGGGGGCGCCGGGGGGAGGCAGTTCGCAGCTTCTCACCGCAGCGAGCGGCGTCTGTGACTCACATGCAGCGCGTGATTCAACTTCACTCAAGCGTCCGCAGCTGCCAGGAAAGGAGCCTGGAAACCCTTTAATTTGAAGCTTTGAGTCGGTTAATGACTTGCTTTCCTCTCCTTCCCCCTGAGCTGCTCTCCCCGCCCCCAATACACGTGCACGCACACCCCTCCGCCCAGCACTCGAATTTCAGGGACCCAGAGCCACAAAGCCCCATGGCATTCACAACAGCGTTTGTTGTGACAAAGTGGCTAGAACCCTCCGCATTCCAGCTCCCTGGGCCGCATGAATCAATAATGAGTCACAGATACCACCGGGGTGCGCGCCAGAGTTTTACCAGATAGCGAATTCCCCCAGACCCACCCGCCCCACCCCACCCCGGCTCTGCCAGCCCAGCAGCCAGCCACGCGGGGCGGGCGCTGGCCCCAGTGGGTGCCCGCCGCACACTGCCAGCCTTGGACACAGTTTCCTGGTTTGTGTTGGTCTCGGCACGGTCCTCTTTCTCCACCAAAGAGACACCGATGAGCAGAAACACGCACACACCCTCACACCCTCACACACTCACAGCTCGCCTCCCCTGCTCTGCCCCTCACGGGCCAGGGCAGGAACACAGTCAGGGCTTCCACACCAGCAGGCCGCATGCCATCATGACCCAAGTGCCGCACGCTTAGCTGAGGAAACCTCGTTATGCTCTTCGCGAGAGGCTCCGTACCTGACAGCCGGCTTCCTCTCTCTCTGAACGACGCCGCTGCCTCCGCATCGAGACCACAAGGCACCACACAGCAGACCTCAGCCGGCTCTCACCCCGGGGAGCGCCCGCTGCACTCCGCCTCCCGGCCCAGAGCGGCCGCTGCCCCCGAGGACCCGGCGGGGCCAGGGCAGGTCTGGGAGCCTGCCCTGCCCTGCTCTGCCCCTGCCCCTGCCCCGGCCCCGGCCCGGCACTGGCTCAGCCTCCTGGCCAGCTGTGCAGGCTGGAGCGCGGGCCACGGAGCACACAGAGTTTCAGATAGTCAGCCCCTGCCACCGGAGTGAGGGACAGCGACACAAAACCCAGAGGGCCTCCTGGGAGCTGTGCCACCTCCAGACCTTCACCAGGAGCAGCTCCAGCTCCCCCCTTGCCAACGTTCCCAGGCACCGACCACACGCCAACGGCCTCCCTGTTCGCTCAGACGTCTCTGCAGAGCTGCCGTCCAGGAGCCCGTAACCCAATAGCCTTGTAACCACAGCCTGCGTTTGCCTTCCTCCCTCCGGCCGACGGCACCGCGGCCTCGGCTCCGCGTGACAGCCCTGCAGGCGGAGCTGAGTGAGAGGACCGGCGTGTACTCACCGCGCATGAAGCACTGCGGGTACGAAGGAAATGACTCAAACAGGCTCTCCGAGGCCATGGCTGCTCCTCCTCGCACCCTCTTCGGCAGGCGGGGTCCGAGGGCGGTGTTCACCTTGGGAGCAAACCACGGAAGGTCATTGCTGTCGCCTCACCCCCCGCGGCTCCCCACATCTCTTTCCTTTCTTTCCCCTTCGACACCCCTGGGGCTCCCCGAGCCCTAGGAACAATGTACCTTTGCAAAACAAATATTCAAATTGTTAAAGATTAAAAAAAAAAAGCGGTGCTCGGCTGTGGCTTGGGGATGCTCGCCGCCCTGCGAAACCCTGTGGTTTGCAGCTGTGTGATTCCTCCTGCCGCTGACCACTGCGCCCGCGTCGCCCGCTGACTCTGCCAGCCGCCCCACTTGTGGTTCTGTGGTTGTTGTTGGGGCCCAGGGAAGTTTTCACACAACCCAAATGACAAATTTAACTGTTCCCCTTTCCCCGGCGCCTCGTCATTGGTCCTTGCCAATCACGTGACTTCCATGATGTCAATTTTTTTTTTTTTACACTTTCTGAGCCATGCCCTTCCTCCCCTCCACCTGCCCCCCACCCCCGGGCTGTGCAAGAAAACAGCCCCAGAGACGTTGCAAGACAGCGACTGGCTGCAACGTGACTCAGGCCCTTGTTATACCAGGGTCGCTGCTGAGTGCGGCCGCGGGCCTGCTGCTGTGTGTGGTTTGGAAGCTCTGGCTGTTTGGATGAGGGTGTCATTGCTGCTTATTCACTAGGAACTCCGCCCTGGCACCGGCTGCAGGCAGGCGGGACGTGGTGCCATCATGCAAGATGCTGGGCACGGGCTCAGGGGTCCCTGGCCCTTGGGAAAGACTGTACCGGCATCAGCAAAACTGTAAAGGGGGGGAAAGTAAAAGGAAATGTTTTGGTGAGAGTCTGACCCCTGACTCCCCAGTATTTTAGAGCTGACAAAAGGGAAAGCGTTTTCATTTTGTGATGAAAACACTATTCTAATACCAAAAAAATTCTGTGGTTTTAGTGCTCCTACATGGACATCTTTTCAGTGAAGAGATAAAATCGTAGTTCTCTCCTACACACACACACACTCAGGAAACTACAGGGAAGGGCAGACACACACACACACACTCACACACACACACACTCTCTCACACACACATGCACGCACACACACACACACTCAGGAAGCTACAGGGAAGGGCAGGCAGACACACACACACACTCACACACACACACACTCTCTCTCACACACACATGCACATACACACACACACACTCAGGAAGCTATAGGGAAGGGCAGACACACACACACACTCAGGAAGCTACAGGGAAGGGCAGACACATACACACACACACACACACACTCAGGAAGCTACAGGGAAGGGCAGACACACACACACACACACACACACACTCAGGAAGCTACAGGGAAGGGCAGGCAGACACACACACACTCACACACACACACACACTCTCACACACACATGCACATACACACACACACTCAGGAAGCTATAGGGAAGGGCAGACACACACACACACACACTCAGGAAGCTACAGGGAAGGGCAGACACACACACACACACACTCAGGAAGCTACAGGGAAGGGCAGACACACACACACACACACTCAGGAAGCTACAGGGAAGGGCAGACACGCACACACACACACACTCAGGAAGCTACAGGGAAGGGCAGAAAAGAGAAGTTTTGCATTTTGGGTGAAAGCAGGGCTGCCTGTAAACTTGTGTTTTGCTTTTAGCTGTGAGAGTCGCTGCCTTGCTTCCTGTGTGACCGGAACCCGCAGGCTAACCCGCACCTGGAGGGGACACTCGCCCTGCTATCAACCCTGCAGAGAGGAGAGCTACGAGGACCCTGCACGATAGAGGGGACCCAGAGGCTGCCCCAGAGGCCACCTCCCCGGCCAACGGACAGTCTGAGGCTGGTCCTTGGCCCGGAAGGGAGCCAGGCCTGCTCGAGGGGCGGAGGACAGGGGAATTGGCACGTGGGCCGGCGTGCTGGGCACACACTCTCTTCCTTGTCCTGCCCGCTGGGCTCCCTGCTAGCGGATACGATAGTTTCTCCTTGAGTTCCCAGAGCAAGGAAGAGTCCTTCCGCGATGAACCACGGAGCCTTGCGGGGCTCCACGCGCACCCTCCATGCGGCTCTGCACACAGAAGCCCCTCCCCCCCGAGGAACTGTGAGCCCCCAGGTCCCCAAGTGCCAGCCCCGGTGCCAGCAGGTCTGCGATGCCAGCAGAGGCCTCGGGCCGTCCGGCCGGAATACCCCTGCGTGCTGACCTCTCCGCCCCGTCCCGCCCTCACCCACGGTGATAACGTGTGAGGGCCAATGGCACGGGCGTTTGCGAGGGCACAGACGGGATTGTGACTTAGGCCTGTTGTGACTAAAGCAGGAATTGAAACTCGTGCCTGCGCTCTCCGGATGTGTGCAGAGCGAGCGTGCCCAGTGTGGACGCCGTATTCACATGTACGCGCACAGTCACATGTGTGTGTGTGTGTGTGTGTGTGTGTGTGTGTGTGTGTGTGTGTGTTATGAAGTTTATTGACACCCGAACGCCACGCATGCTCCGTGCCCCGCGCTGCTGGCCCTGCTCTCCGGCTCCCGCGGCGCCAGGGAGGGCCCGGAGCCCAGCGCTGTGACAAGCGGCTGCCACACAGCGTCAGCTCCGGCTCAGTAGTGACTGAGGGAGGCCATGGCGATGCAGACGAACCTTGGATGGTTCATTCTCAAAACCCCTGATGCTTTGGCCTCCAGTGTCCAGGCGCCCCAGGTGGATGTGTCAGCTCCCGGCCGAGCTCCCGCTGCTCTGCTGGCTGAGGGGCTCGTAGTCAAGTGTAAAGGCGGCTGGGCCTGCGGAGGCCTTGCCTGACGCTGCCGTCCTGTGTGCCGGTCAGGGCTGGGGCAGCAGGGGGCAGAGTGTGCAGGCCTGCAGCCCGCTGGCCGCCGCCAGCCACCGCAGCATCCTGGCTGGGAGGCGACACTGGCAGCTTTGCTGGGCCCCCTCCAAGTCAGAACAGCGAGTAGAGGCGCAGCCCGTGCCGGTGAACTTGGCCCTCCCACTTCCTTAGGAGCCTGAGATGCAGAGACACCTAAGTCACCCGAGAGCCGCCGGAGGAGTGCTGCACGCTGGCTTCGCCGGGCTGGTTGGGATTCCTTAGGTCTGGGCAGCGACCCACGCCCTCTGCCCTACTTCCTGCAAGTGACTCAGCCTGGGCTGCGCCTGGGGAACTGTCCCCGAGCGGCTGTGGCCATGGGGGCTCTGCCCGGGCATTGATGGCAGTGCTCAGCCTCACTCAGATCGGCCGCAGCCCCCACATATCACTTGGGGGGGGGGGGGGCGGTGCTCAGGTGTCGCTTTCGATGGCTCTCTAAAAGTACCACGACGGTAGCAAGACCTGCGGTTGCATCGCCTGGGATGAGAGTGTGGCTGCGGTGTACACTCCGGTCTGATGGACGCATCTTCTGCCGGGCGTCTTCCGTCCAGGATCACTGTCCGTGTCTCCGAGCGTGTCTATTGTAAAGCAGAGTCTCTGGCCAGAAAGTGGACCCCAAAGAGACGCCCCAAAACACTGGTGTGGTCTCAAACCCCAGGAGGACGCTGCTGCCCAATCTCTCTCCAGAGCACACGTTTTCATTCTCCTACATCCTCGTGCCCCACGGAGGTCGAGGAGGAGCCTTCTGTGTGGTGGTGACAAGGGTCTCGGGGGTGAGCTTACACCCAGGCCTGACAGCAGGGCCTCCTGGACTGGCGAGAGCCTGGTCTCGGGTTAAGTGACAGAGCTGCGCGGACCCCGCGGCGAGGCCTCCCTCCTGGAGCCCGCGGTGGCGTCTGCAGGGGGCGCCTCCCTCTGAGGCACAGGCTCCTCCAGCAAAAGTACGATCCACATGGAAGTCACCACGAGAACTTACAGCCAGACGAGCATCCCGGCATTTTCCCGTACCCTCCCCGGAAGGAGACGCATGGCTCTGCGGGGAAGTCGGATTGAAAAGAAGGAAGACAGCAACGCGTCCCACGCAGGCCGTCCAACCGCACGGCAACCTGTTGGGTGGTCACTGTTGCAGGCAGAGGGGTTTCCGCTGCCCGCTGCTCAGGGTGGCCCGCGGGCCGCAGCGGGGGCACAACCAGGGGGCCTCTGAGAATCAGAATCCTGGGCTCCAGTCCGAGCTCCCGACTGGAATCCATTTCCATGGGTCCCGGGGACCCTCTGCACAGCAGGCTCTGAGAGGCATCGCGGAGGGCCTCGCACGAGCAGGGATTGGGCACGGAATATGCTGGGGTCACTTCCCACAGCCTCCAGACCGTCCCACTCAAAGGTCTAACTTTCTGCCTTGCGGCCTTGGCATGACTCTTACAGCTTTATTTTTACCGTCGACACCATCACAGATTTGGGCAGGATTCTGTGAGCCCTGGATGTTTCCAGATGCAGAAATCCACGAGAGGCGTGGCTCACGGGCTCCCAGGTAGAGCTTTCCCCGTGGCCACTCCACATTCGCATCTCAAGTGTGGGGTCTGGGTCACGTTCACAGTCTGAGGTCTGCCACCCATGTAGGGAGGCCCCGGTGCGCTCTGCCTGCCAGGCTGGTGGCACGTGGACACACGGAAGGTGTTTGTCCTTGAGGGGCACCCGAGTCTCAGTTTCCACCCGGTTTGCAGTCTGGGGACACATGGATCCTGCGGTTCTTCCAGGTGTACAACACGTGCCCCCGGGGGCGTTTCCAGGGGCCTCGGTGGCCCGGCCCTGGGCTGGCCTCCCCGGTGGGTACCTGCCTTACTCTCAGGCCACCGCCTCGCAGATGCCACGCCCTGTGCCTTGCCCGGGAGGGAGGGGCCCCGCCTTACCTGTCCACTCTGAGAGCCGCCCCCTCCAGGGCCCGGAGGCCCCGCTTACACAGGACCCGGGAGCCCGGCTACTTCGTCCCGAGGCGGCTGGATCCCTCCCGCCTGCGTTGGGCCTCGGGCCACGGGTCCTGTTTGGAACCGTTTCTCCTGCAGAATGTTGGCTCTTCTGCCCCCGGTGCCATCTGAAACCAGGGGTAAAAGCGAGAACCTCAAACAAACTCTCTTTGAATGTGAGAGATGTTTAGCATGCGGGGTTGGGCCAAAGGACGGAAAACATTCCGAGTTGGTACTGAACTTTCCAGCCAGCTCCTCCAGCCTGAGGCTAATTTTAGCAGGAGATCCAGGCAGGGAAGGCGCAGGGAAGCGAGGAGAGTAGAGTTACTCAGAGTTGGGGCAGCCAGACCCGTGTGGGTGAGATCGCGCCAGATTCAGTCATTCCGTGCACCCGGCGAACAGTGTGTGTCCCCCCGCTGAGCAAAGCGCCCGCTGCAGGGACTTCGGACTTGGTTGCCATGGCTACTCCTCTTCCCGATGTAGGCAAATGCAGAG